GGGGCCCCCGCCGCTCCCTCAGGGGCCCCCCTGCTGCTGCTGCTGGAGTCGGTTGCTGCTGCTGCGGTCTGGCAATTCATTCACAGCAGCAAAAGCAGCAGCAGCAGCAAATGAAGTACCAAGTGTAGCAGCAGCAGCAGCAGATGAAGTACCAAGTGCAGCAGCAGCAGCAGCAGCAAGAGGGACACAGAAGGCTGCTCGCCAAGTGGGGACTCAAACGTGAGCAGCAGCAGTGGAGGCATCCCTAGCAACAGCAGCAGCAGCAGCAACAGCAGCAGCAGCACGAGCCTGGAGCAGCAGCAGCAGCTCACGTTCGAAGCAGCAGCAGCGAGCGCTGAAGCAGAGGCAGCTCTAGCGGCAGCTACAGTTGCTGCTGCAGAAGATCCCAGTGCCGCTGCAGCAGCAGAAACATTGCAGCAGCAGCAATAGCAGCAGCAGCAGCAGCAGCAGCAGCAATGGGGTTTACCAGCACGTTTAAGCTTTTGAATTTGGGGATAAAGCGGAGGACTTGGAGGCGCACGAAGAAGCAGCCGCCGCACCGCTGGGACGCCATAAGGTGCGAACTAGGGTTTAGGGTTTAGGGTTTAGGGTTTAGGGTTTAGGGTTTGAGGCAGCGTGGAGGCGAAGCCAGGGTCCCGAACTAGGGTTTAGGGTTTGCTGTTGGCGCGCCCTAAGGGTTTTTCCCCGAGGGTTTCAGCGGGGGGGAAGACGAGATTAGGGTTTAGGGTTTAGGGTTTAGGGTTTAGGGTTTAGGGTTTTGCAGAAACCAGCTGGACCAGCTGCTGCGCTTCGGGCGTTTGGAAACCACCATAACTCGGGCCAAAGAGCTGCAGCCCTACGCCGAGGAGCTCATTCACCTCGCCAAACGCGGTACAAACCCTAAACCCTAAACCCTAAACCCTAAACCCTAAACCCTAAACCCTAGCTTGCAGGCGTTCGGGGCTGCTGCGGTGCTGCTGTGCGCGGCTCTCTGGGAGCTTGTTGGGGTGCCAGCTGGCTAAGGGTCTGCTGAGGGTTTAGGGATTAGCGTCTAGGGTTTGCGTAGGGTTTAGGGTTTAGGGTTTGCGAGTTTCTAGGGTTTTCACTTGAATTGCCCTCAAGTTCCGCGCTCCAAACTCTCCCGCAGCGCCCAGGGTCTAGCGAGGGTTTAGGGTTTAGGGTTTAGGGTTTGCTGCGGGGCCGGAAAAAGCCCTTGTGGAATCCACTTTGCTCAGGGCCTAGCTAGGGTTTGGGATTTAGGGTTTGCTGCAGCCCCGGAGAAAACCCATCCTAGTTGCAGCTGATTACTTAGGGTTTAGGGTTTAGGGTTTGCTGCAGGTCCCGAGAAAACCCTCGCAGTGGAGTCCATTCTGCGGACTCCAGCTGCTCGGCGGCGTTTGCTGGAGGAGTTCGTTGGGGTGTACGTACACCGCAACTTCTTCTTCACGAGAGTTGTAAATCAGTTTCGACTTCGAATGCGCGACGCCGCGCCCATGGCCTACATCGAATTCGTCGACAGGTCCAAACCCTAAACCCTAAACCCTAAATTAGGGTTTGAGCGTCGTCCCAGCCCGAAATTCTAAAAAAGGGTTTCGGGGGCCACCAAGCGCCAAACCCCAAATTAGGGTTTAGGGGACGCCCAAACCCTAAACCCTAAATCAGGGTTTGGGGCTTGCCGAAACCCAAAACCCTAAATTAGGGTTTTGGGGCTAGGCGAACCCCAATGCCCAGCAACTCCGCCCACCCCATATCCTAACGCAGCCACGCCGCACCCTAGTTGCAGCTGATTACTCAGGATCTAGGGTTTAGGGTTTAGGGTTTGGGGTTTGTGTTTAGACCCGGAGAGCTGCGGCCCGCCCGGCCCGTGGGCACTGAAAGGCAGAAATATATTTGGCAGCAAATGGAGGAGTCCAGGAGGCAGCGGCGTCTGCTGTGGAACGTAAACCCTAAACCCTAAACCCTAAACCCTAAACCCTAGAGCCTAGCTGGCACTGAGCTGCGACTTTTTAACTCTCTGTGCTGC